CATTGCTCCTAATTTCCAAAATTGGTGACAAAATTATTTTCTCACCAAAAGACAAAATTATTGACTACAAAAATATTTTTCTCACTAAATGATATTGAATTATTAAAAATTATTGGTGACGAAAATATATTTGTCACTAATAATTTTATAATTGGTGACCAATTTTTTCCTCACCAAAAGTCTTAAAATTTTGGCGCCATCCAAAAAAAATATCGGGAAAATCTTTGATGACAAAAATAAAAATAATTTCGTCACCTAATTTTTTTTTTATTATGTATGTAGATTGGTGACGAAATTTTATTTTTCTCTCTAAAAATTGTACATTTGGAGGTGAAATATCATTTTCTTCACTAAAACGTACGTCATTCGTGACAAAATTTATTTTCATCATTAGTGTTCGTCTCCAAAGACTCTTTTTGTTGTAGTGGTTGGTCACTCTTTTTGTGGATGAAATACCTGAGTCCATGACCCCTAGAGATTTGTTCAAGCTATTCAGCAAGTTTAGTGTTGTTAAGGATGTATTCATACCAATGAAAATGAGGAAAACAACAAGAACAAGGTTTGGATTTGTGAGATACGATTGCAAGGTGGCTACAGAGGTGGCAATACAAAAAAACTGATGATTTATGGTGTGATAACAGGGCCTTGAAAGTTAAAATGGCAGAGTATGGTAAATCTGATCAACGTAGACAGTTGTTAATAAATAGAAAGATAGGAGGTATGGTGCAAAGAATGCAGTGAGATCCCATAAAACCTATGATGGGAATCAAACGTAAGTCATATGCAGAAGTAATTGAAAATGGAGGAAAAAATGGAAGGCAGTATGAAAAGACAAAGTAACTGTAAGAGCTTTTGAGGCTGGTAATGGTTGGTTATATGATAGTTTGTTGGTGAGGCTCAAAGCATTTTTCTCTTTCCATGAATTTGGAAAGGAGTTACAAAAGAGGAAGGTAAAGGATGTGGTCGTTAGACAAGGAGGAGGAAAGCTAGCAATTTTATCATTCAAATCAAATCAACAGATGAAGGAAGAAAAAGTTAGAATGGAGGAATGGATCTATGAATGGAGTGATAAAGTATCTGAATGGAAAAAAAGGAAATTTATGGACCAAGAGAGATGTGTCTGGCTTACTTGTGTGGGTTTCCCTCCGAATCTTTGGAGTCTCAAAACCTTCAAAGATATTGATGAAGTATGGGGTAAAGTAGTCCAGTATGATGAAGACACAATTGCGTTCAAGCATTTGATGTTTGGCAAAGTAAGGATAATCACCAAAATTATGGAGTCAATCAATACAGCGATTAACCTAGTAGGTACTATGAGGAGTTATCAAGTGCGAGTGTATGAAGAGCCAGTAGCACGTATCTGTCAATGTAAAGGTGATTATAACTGTCAGCAAAATGAAGCCATGGACTCTAATTTGCAATATGATGCTGATCAAGTATCCAAAATCGAGGAACAAGAGGATGATGCACAGAAGGTGGCAGATGATACTAGAAAAGACGGTGGGGTTGAAGCTAAAGGTAGTAAATCTACAGAGGAGGAAGAGGATAATGAAGTGGCAAAAATGGATGACGTGTCAATTAATGGACATCACACAGTGGGAGTTATGTTAGATGATATGGAGGGAGGTAATAATTGTATGACTGCTTCAGTTGTCCAAGAAACTAAGTGTGCTCTAGGGAATTCAAACAGTGGGGGCTGTCATAATGAAAAAGGGGTGGTGGAGGTGGGCTGCTCAAGAATAGTGGAGGATGGAGAAGTTCAAAGGGTAGATGATCATGTGTGCACATTAGGCTTTATGAATAGTCTGAATGGGTCGGAGTATGGCAGGCCAAATATTAATTTAGAAGATGTGTTAAATGGAGACCAAATTGAGTCTATGAATAATGGGCCAAGGTAGGTAGTTAATTCAAATTTAAGTGATTGTAGAGTGCAGTCCCAGGTTTTGTCTATAATAAGGAACTTAGCCTATAAAGATCAACATCAGAGAGGTGGCCCATCGTAGAAGGTTATTACTACAACAAAAAGAAACAATAATTTAAAGATTGAAGGGGTTGAACAGAGGAATCAAATTAGAAGGGGTTGTTATTTAGTAATTGTTTAAAAAATGCGGTGATTCTGAGAGCGGCAGCAGCAACCATATCCTTATCAGCGTCTCAAAGTACCAATTCCAACAGGAGAAGAAAGCTATTGGAGGAAGCTCAAGCTACGGTGGAGGTGGAAAAAGTATTAGGGATAAACTGTGAAGGAAAGGAAGATGAAATGGTGAAAAGAATAGTTGAGTTAGAGAAGAAAGATTTGGGCAGAATTGAAGGGAGGGATGTGCTGGCTTAAGTTGTCGGCAAGAAAGAGGCGATTAGGAGCTGAGCTATTGGTTTTTCATGAAGATCATGTCAAGGAATGTTAGGATTCTTAGAAGACTTGAAAACAGGAGTAAAATTAAAGCGTTGGTGATGGAAAGAAAAATAAATGTATTGTTGCTTCAAGAGACGAAGAGAGATAATGTTGATGAAAAGTTTGTGAAATCTTTATGGCCATGGGAGGAAATGGGTTGGGTGGAGGTTGATGCAGAGGGTAGTGCTAGTGGCCTTATGTGCATTTGGAATACACAAATTTTTGAGTTGATTGATTGCTGCAATGCTAGGCATTTCATACTGTTTTCAAGTATTTCTTCTAAATCTTTTAAGTGTATTATTTGTAATATATATGCTTCAAATGATGTATTGAAGAGACAATTATAGGAGAGTCTTATAAATATTAAAGTGTCTTATCCCAATCCTTGGTGTCTAGGAGGAGATTTTAATGAGATTAGATTCATGAGTGAAAGGAAGGGTTGTTCAAGGAGGGAGAGGGGGATGAGAGATTTTAATAATTTTATTGAAAGAAGAAGAGTTTTATTCATAAAGTGAAAGTGAAGAAGGCGAGCCTAGCGGCCCAATATCAAATTGATGAGAGCATAAACACTAGGATGGAAAACAAACTTTCCACACTCGAGCTTCATCAATTGACAGAGCATGGTGCGCAGTTTCATGCGCTACTCCATCACAAATACATGGAACAAAACAAAAGCACTCTAAATAAAAAGAAAGACTTAATGTTCTACAGTCTTACACAATCACAAGGATGTCATCACAAATACATGGAACAAAACCAAAAGCACTCTAAATAAAAAGAAAGACTTAATGTTCTACAGTCTTACACAATCACAAGGATGTCTTGAGGATGTTGCATTTCACGATTAAGGCTCTGATATTCATAATTAGGGTTTTGTTAACAAGTGTTTGATATTTGTTAAGGTTGTATTAAATCCTCTTAACCACCACCACTATCATAGAAAATAAAAAATAAAAAATACTATAAATATATCTTGCTAGAGACTAAACTACAATTTTATGATTTTAATTTTTATAATATTTATCACCTTTTTGTAATTATTTTTCCTGTCACAAATGAGGTGTAATTTTCCCCTTTTTTTAACATTTTTTTATCGTAAAAGTATATGCCTTTATTTTTAAATGATAATTAGTGATTTTTTAAAAATTTTCACCTTTATTTTTATAACAAATATGAAAAATTAAATGCCCTTTATTTTTTTTTAATTTTTAAATTAATTTTTCTTACACCATATAGTTTAATTATAATTAAAAATAGAGGGCATTTAAAAATTTAAAGAAAAAAGGCACGAAATGTCATTTAAAAATAATTTTTTTTACTTTTATGATAAAAAAAATATTAAGAAAAAGAAGTCCATAATGACAAGTATAAAATGTTAAAATACAGGGAATTGAAGAAAATAGTAGTTTAGTATCTAGCAAAATATTTTTATAGCTTTCCTAATTTCTACAATATATTTGTTATAAAAATAAAGGACAATTAAAAAAATTAAAAATTCGAAATGTCATTTAAAAATAAAGACATTTACTTTTGTGATAAAAAAATGTTTAAAAAAAAACTTTCATTATGAAAAGTTTATGATGTCAAAATAGAGAAATTTGAGAAAATGGTAATTTAGTTTCTACCAAATATATTTACAATATTTTCTCTTTTTGATGATAGTAAAGGTGGGTCAGAAATAAATAAAAAAAAAAAAAATCCAATATTGTATCAGTTATGTGCTTTTAGTCCTTAATTTTAAAATTTTATCAATTTAATTTTCAAATTTAAGTGATCCCTAATGCTCATGTCATCCACCATTAACTGCACTTGTAACCTCCTCGACGCGGCATGTGGAATTTCTTCAGGTATTTTGAAAATATTGCCAATAATTGTTTTGTTTTGTTTTATTTTATTTTATTTTATTTTATTGTCCGAAGATTTCATTGCCTCACTTTCTTTAACTCTCAGAGCTTGTAATTAATCATTTATTTTAGTATTTTTTTTGTGTTTTGTTTGTTTGTTGATTAGGTTGGAGATTGAACATTTGAATAATGTAGACAAGTATCGGTATCTATGCCTTTCAACTATGATGAAGATGATGATAAAAATGAGTGAAATTTCACAATAATGTACAAAAAGAACGGTAAAATATATGTATGATATCTAGCGTATGTACTATTTCGCGTTGCTTTAGTCTTTAAAGTTTTCATTTTGTCAATTTCATTCTTGAAACTTTGCAATTTGAGTCATATTAGTTAAAGGTATAATTATAAAATTCACCTATAATCCCTAAATTATGCATTTGTGTTTTGTTCTGATAGTTTTGGATTGTCAATTTCGTTCTCTCAATTTTAAAAGGTTATATTTGATTTTCTTTGTCAATGTTTAGGAATCAAAGTAACAGATTTAAGAACTTCAAGAAATAAAATGACACGAGGCTTAATTTTTAGAGACCATAGATGTATTTCAATATAATAATTTAGAAGGTTCATTTAAAATCAGAACAATTTGACGCAAATTGTAAAACGTTAGAAACCAATTAAGGTTGTGGTTAGATTATGGATTTGAGTAAGAATTTCAAAAGTCAAAAAGAAAATATGAGAGAAATATGCATGGAATATAAGTAAAAAGAAAATCTTAATTTCTTATTCTCCTTAAAAATTCATAATACATACTTTATATAAATTTTCATTTTCATTTTGTTATATCAAATGTTATTTTAATTTTCATTTTCACGTGACGCTTAAACTTATTTTTACTTACAATAGAAGGGGAAAACTAAGCGAGATTAAAAATGTTCACAATGAAAACATCCCACTTCATGGACTTCCCAAGTAACCCAACCCAACTCAAGGCATGTCAATTAAGACTAGTGAGGCTTTTTCACTTCATCAGATTTATTTTAGCAAACTCCGAAAGCTTCTCAATCTCAGGGATAACATTCTTCACTGCATCATCAGAGCAAAACCTCTCAGCCCACTTCGCCAGGCGCGGCATCGTGGTTATGTCTAGCACCTTTGCATCGAACATCTTCTCCAACGCCTTGAACCAACCCAAGAAGCACCCGAGCGCTACGTCGACGTAACCAATGCTATCCCCACCGAAGAAATTACCATTTCCTTCACTGCTGCAGTTGATGAAGTATTCTTCTAATAACAACAGCGTTGCTACCAGCTTGTCTATTGCTGCCAATCTCTCTTCCTCTCCTTTTGCCTTAAGAATTTCCGTTAATAATGGAAAACACTGCAAGAAACAAAAACATATACTTGCTTGGTACATACATAAATATTTTTTAAAAAAATATAAAATAAATAAATAAATAAACATGGTTGTTGAGTTGTCGAAGGCAGTAGCTACCTATGGGATGACTAGAGGTTGTTGTCAAACTATCAGAGGACACCGGAGGTGGTGGGGAAGGAAGGAAAGAGGTTAGGAAAGAGTGAAAATATTGTTTTTGAAAACAAAAGGTAATGCTTTTTGTGTTTCCAAATATTTAAAATTTTGAGAATTAATTCCATTTTTATGAAAAATATAATAATGTACCAAGCAAATCCTTTTATTATCAGAAACAAAACAATGAAAAGTTCTTCTTTTTTGTGAATATAGTTTTTAGAAGTCTGAAACCACTTTTTGATGTTTTCTCAAAATTGGGTTGTTTTTGGAGAATTTTTTCCAAAAATAATTTACTATATAACTCGTTAAGACTAAAACACACATTCATTGACACCCTCTGTTCTATCATTTCATTTAACTACATATTACACTACAAAATAAAAATAAAAACAAAAACTAATTGTATACCATTACTATTTGATTTAAGAAATTCAACGAATGATAAAATGATACCTTATCATCAATATAGGCTCCCCAAAATCGTTCAATGGCGCGATCATAGGGATCAGAGGGGAGGATTGAGGGACCAAATGTCCATAACTCATCGATGTATTGAACAATAATAAGAGACTCACATATAGGCTTGTTGTGGTGGATAAGAACTGGTATTTTCTTATTAACCGGATTTGATTTAAGAAGAAGTTCACTTTTGGAACCAAATGTCTCAGGTAAGAACTCATAGTTGATTGATTTTAGGTTCAGAGCAATTTGAACCCGGTTCACAAATGGGCTTGGTGAGCCTACTGCATGCTCGTTTTCTTTGGGTGAATAACCACCTATGAGCTTTACACTTGCCATGGCCAATTCTCTAGCAATAGAAACAGTTGAATATGATTGAATTCAGATATGAATTGTTGGTGTTTTGATTTGAATTGAAAGAGTCTCTGTGTATATATATTCCTTGAAGAGGACAAATATCCGCAATAAATAAATAAAAATAAAAAAACAATGCAAATATGCGTCATCCAAGTCGTCACAAAACAATGGGAAAAAGTCCTAGTTTGATACCAGGAACATGAGAATAGGTGAGGTGGGCTTCTTTTTGTAATCTTTCCAATTTGACCATTCTCAAAAACAAATAAATAAAATTGAGTTCCTACAAAATTTTAATAAAAATACATAATTACCTTCAAATCAACAACAATTAGCTCGTTTGGCATCCAGCCTTTTTGACATTAGTGGCTTTTTTAATCACAAAATGATAAAATTTGCTAAAAAAATAATAAGACAAAATATTACATTTAAATTATAATTATTTCATTTTTTCTCTAATAAAAGTAAAAAAAATCAATCCAAACGAACTTTTTAACAAAGACTAAAATAATTAAAAAGTCAAAAACCAATCCAACTTTCCAAACTAAGCCATTTGTCAACCTATATGTCTGCATGTCCTACTTATCTTCCAAGAGTCCATCTATTTATCTCTGTGTCCACTTGTCTGTTGCTAGTTGCCAACGAATTTTTCAGTAACCCTTCCAATGCCAACAAATTCCCCGCCACTTTCCCTGCGAGTGGACTGTAGCGGCCAATGGCTATTGAAAATAATGTGTGAGAAACAAGAAGAAGAAAAAATCGGGATTGCAAAAAGAAAAATAGTAAAAAAAAAAAAAAAAATGTCATTTAAAATACTTATTTGCACTTCTCATTAATATCTTTTATTAAATATGTCTTTATAACCAAAACAATTTTAAAAAGTAATGCTACACAAACAAATAATTTATACAAAATTTTTATATATGACTCATTTGTATACCTTTCACTCTAAAATAAAATATTGCTAAAAATAAATTTATTTATAATAATAATATTATGAGATCATTCTTCTCCAATTTTATGTATAAATTTTAGACATTTCACTACCTAACCCACATTGTTTATACACATAAATGCATTGGAATATTTGATGGGTAAGAAGAACTCAAGAAAATGGGATATTTTAGAAATTTGACTAAAAGTTAATTTTTGACTTTTAACTTAGTTTGATACACATTACTTGATACATTTAAAAAAATTAAAAAATTAACTTGTAACCAAATGCGAACACGGATGATGCAGGTATCTCTAGGCAAAGTCAAACATGATTCCTAGGTTATGACAACTTGGATGATGTTTATAATAGTTTGGAGAATTTACAAATCTGTGTATTTTTTAAAAAATAATTATAAATTCATAAAAAAATTATAATTTTAATTATTAATTAGTAATTGATCTATGCGATACAAGAATTTTTTTCTTTTTAAATAATATTTTATTAAATTAAATTAAATTATTTATTTATGTCGATATATAAATTATTTTTAGAAATATGTTACAATGTATGCATTACAAAAATATAATATTAATTTTAGAAAAAATTAATTTAAAGTCCTTATCCCATTCTTAGTAATGGAAGAGATCCATAATATTATTTTGTAATGTCTAAAATCCTTCAACCTGACATGCATATATCACAGAAAAATTCCACTCTCTCAAATTTGGAAGCAGCAGCAGCAGCACTAGCTGTAAGCGCGACAGTGGCCATGTCTGTGCCAAGCGAGTGTCGCCTCCGCAGCGGGCCGTACCCGGGCGAAATATTGGACCTCTGTTTCCTTCACCTACCACCCCCTCGTCTCTCTTCTACTCCATACCTCCTTGCCGGTACACTTATTTCTCGCTCAAATCTCTCTCTCTCTCTCCTTGCTAGAATTAATTTTACAATATTATTGACTCAATAGGGACCAGTTCTCGCTTCTGCTCTTATCAGTTGGAAACGGGAAAAATGGTTAAATCAAAAATTTAACTCTCTCAAATCTGAAAGCAGCAGCAGCAGCACTAGTTGTAAGCGCGACAGTGGCCATGTCTGAGCCAAGCGAGTGTCGCCTCCGCAGCGAGCCGTACCCGGGCGAAATATTAGTCTGTTTCCTTCACCTACCACCCCCTCATCTCTCTTCTACTCCATACCTCCTTGCCGGTACACTTATTTCTCGCTCAAATCTCTCTCTCTCTCTCCTTGCTAGAATTAATTTTACAATATTATTGACTCAATAGGGACCAGTTCTCGCTTCTGCTCTTATCAGTTGGAAACGGGAAAAATGGTTAAATCATTTCACGTGTTCCAAGGTATTAGAGTCCATGGAATTACTACTTGTAGCTCTATTAATGGCAATGGCAAAAACAGATCATTATCTTCTCCAATTGACTTCAATATTGCTGTGTTTGGGGAAAGCAGGATCAACTGTTTACCTTATCCATTCAAATGAATTGCCAATTCCAAAATCAACCACTAGATTTTATTCATTTTCATTTCAATTTATTACACTTGTTACCGAAATTTAGTCATTGGGTTTTGGATGTTTGCTACTTGAAGAAATAGAAGGGAGAAGTGTCACTTAACACTAATTTTTTTTGGCATGCTTAACTTTTTCTGTCATTTGTAATTTTTTTCGGCAGGTTTTCTCTGGCATGCTTAATTTTTTCTGGTTTGAGCCCAAAAAAATTCTTGCGAAAACCAGAGAAATTTTGTAAATGGGTTTTTGAAATTAAATTCAATTATGAAAATTTGAATAGTTTAGATGATACCATTTTTCCCTCTGTTTGGTTGTTGAGAGAAATGAGAAAATAAATAGGAAAATGAGAATTCAATTTTAATGTTGATTGATAATGTTATCAATCAAAATTCAATGTAATTAAGCAACCAGTTGAATTGAGCAACATTGTGGTGAAATATCTGAAATTCAAAATTTTGTTTTTGATCTAAATGGTGGCTCTATGTTTTTTTTCTGTGTGTTGAAATCGCTTTGTGTTGGCTCTTTGATCAATTTCTCTAGTTGAGTCAAAACATAATTTTCTCTAGTTTGATCAAAACACAAAGAAAATTATGAGCAAACCAGGGAATTTGGGAAAGATGAGGAATGAAGTTGGAAGAGAAGAAAGAACTGCCACTTAATACTCTCGTATGTATAATTTTCTTTGGCATGCTTAATTTTCTCTAGCATGTTTAATTTTCTTTGCCATGTTTAATTTTCTCTACCATGTGTAATTTTCTCTAGTTTGAACCCAAAGAAATTCTCTGGCCTTCCCTGAATTTCTTTGGAGAGAAATTCTCTAAATCGAATTTGTTTTGGATCGATGTTGAAGGACCTTAAATATTATGAAAATATTGAATGTCTTTTATACTATAAAATCTTAATACCAGATATCCTAAAAAAAATCTCCTTAATTTTATCACGATATAAAATATAACATAAATAAATATATAATAATTTTGGTTGAATTATTTATATACACATATATCTATGTGTACATATATATAGAACTATTTAAAAAATATATTATAAAATATGCAATGCAATTTTCATTCTATTAAACTATGAAAGTGTATTTTAAATAAATGAATATATATATATATATATATATGTATAATAAAATAAATATTTATTTTAATATTAAAAATAATGATTAAATTGGAGAAAAAAAAGTCATTTAAAATTAAAAAATGATTCTAATTTTTTTTTTTTGATAATCTTAATCTTATCGTTCTATAAAAGTGTTATTTAAACAAATATATATAATAATTTTATTTAAATTATTTATGTATATTTTAATAAACTTAGTCCTATTGTACTACAAAAATGTAACTGAAATAAATATATAATGATTTTATATGATATTAAATTATAACATAATAAAAGAGTGAATTATAATATAATAAAATAAACACTAAATTTGACATCATATATATATATATATATATATAAGTAGTGTTTATATATAGAGTGTAGTGGCTGTAAGGTCAGGAGTTCGAACTGATGGTGCAACGATGATCCCTTTACTTGTAATCTAACTTTAATAACAAAAACTAACATCCTACAATCTTGGCAAAAAAAATGTATATATATATGGTTTTAATTAAATATAATTTTTTCCTAATAAACAATTTCAGTAAACTCAATATAAATTAATAACAAAATATAAATAAGATAGACAAAAAAAATAATAAATATATTTAATTTTAAAATAAAAATTGAATACTTGAATAAAAGTGAAAAAAAGTAGAAGAAAATTAATTTGCAAAATTTTTTTTAGTACATATAATTGTACATGTGTTGGCTACATATTTTGTATAAGCCAATTACAGTTTAACACATGACAGGATGGAGGTAATATGGAAAGACAATTCGAGTCTTCAATCATAATTACACACGTGGCAGTTAGTATTAGTTATTGTGGATCTATATAGTATGGAATCAGCAGAGAGGTGCAAGATGACATGGCCTTAACGGTTACTCATATTTAAATTCAAATATCAGGAGGGAAGCCTAACTGCAGACATAACGTAGTGGAGCTAACTGTGAGGAAACATGATCAGCAATCATGAAATGATGATTCGACAGTTAGAAGCTCATTTCGACGATTACCATTGAGAAGTATAAATAGCAGAGAAGGTCCCAGAAAGAGCACCCAGACTCAGATCCAAAAAATCAGTTTTATCTACTTTAATTTCCTTCCAATTTTTATATTTCTTGTTCTTTATATTGCTGCACTTCAAATTTCTACACTGCACTTCATTCATAGGAGTAGTTTAAACTAGTTTGCCGTTGTAAACCTCTACGAGGCTGATTCGGATCTTTGTAAATCTTCTATTTTGCTTAATAAAATGCTACAATTGTTCTTCATTTAATCATTGTTTGCTAAATTCTCCTAAACAAAGCCACCAGTAAAAGTCCTTTTCATTGAGGCTGAAAGAACTAAAACATAATCGTCTGATAATTGGTTAGCAATTAATATTCTGTAAGGACTGATTGATCCTTGCTAGCACGCTCAAATTTACAATAATAACCTTCGAAAGCGAAAAAACTAACATATATTTTTGGCA